GCAGAGTGGTGGCGGGAGAGGTGGATATTTTGAAAGAGGGGATTGCCTTACCAACTAACCTATTGCTTAACCTCTATTTTTAACCTATGTTGGAAACCTGAAACTAAAGGGGAATACGTCCTGTATTCTTCTTTTAATACAACTATAGGATGGTCTGCCAATATTAAGGGCTTGTATCGATTGCACCAATTTGGGATGACAGATGCATATGGATGCATTTGACCTTCTTCAACTGGGTGTTGCATTCCTATAGACTTTCATAGGAATGCCAAACCCATTTTAAAAACTAGTTCAAGTGGTAATATTAGGTCATATGGAAACTTTTAAGTGTCAGAATCATTCATGTTCCCCTCATATAGAAGTAGGTTCAGGAAAGATGTCCCACCTCTTTATATTAGTGGAAAATGAACTAACAGATAATGGTCAGGCTTATAGTATTTGTAGTAGTCATATGGGAAAGAAAACATTGTGGCATCTCGGGTTTGGGTGATAGGTCTTACATGAATCAGTTTATACAAGTGTTTCTTAATGTTATCTAATGTTATCCAATGTTGGGAATGATATGTCATCAGAAATTATGTTTTGAAACACCCGAGTGAAAGATTTTTTACTTGGAGTTTGAACTGTGTACTGGTTCTAGCCAGCATTAGTAAAGTATACATTTATAAGGGTGAAACATTTAAAGCAAACCTGAGTCACTTTTCCCTACACCTAAAAAAACACTATATTTTATGTAGGTCTAATAGGAAAAAAAAAAGCATGCACAAAGCTCGGAGCAGAGAGAACGGAACCTAATCACGGTATATCTGATGGTACTTGTCCTTCAAACACCACAACAAGTTTAAGAAATAACCAAAAAAATATGAAGCTGCTTATAATATTAGTCATTCGAGAACTGGGCTTATCCTTTAAGATTGTAGGTGGGGGAAGTTAGATTGCTACATGCGCATGATTTTATCACACTTTTGTTTTTGTTCAATAACTAGGAACTACACTATAAATAATTCAAGTTTTTAGCTTTAGTATTCATACTTTTTTATCGTAGAAAAGGAGCATAACTGTCCTTTGTTGTAAAAATAAGACTGTAAAAAAGTATCACTTTACTTTTATATGTTAAATATATAGTAACCACTTTATAGGATTTAGGTTTATTATGCAGGAAAATAGTTAAACTTTGCTTGAACCTAAGGAACAACATGTAGAATAAATAATTAGGAATTAGGAGCAAAGTAGTGGAAAGTTCTAAATGTTTACCCCATCCTGTTACATATGCTTGTGATTTAGGATGATACAGATCGAATCCCAAACTGTTGGGAGACAAGAAGTTAGCTACATCTATTGCAATCAACTGGCAGAGCTAACCATACTTTAAAATAGAAGTTTACCATAGAATTACTCTATGAACATTAAGAAGTCAAAAAACACATGTACCTTAATAAAAGCATAGTACCATGTTTGACATCTGTGCTCTGGTTCTCCAGCAATCAGCTCTGGAAACTGATGGTTATTTAAGAGCGACACCATGGTATCACTTAGTGCCCCTCAGGCTATTTTTGACAGCATGAGAGCACAGAAAAAACCTTTTCTAGCCAGGTTCTACAACTACAAGAGGTAGCTAGCATAAGGGGACTGAGCGATACAATGAGTTGCATGGTATTGCTCATCAGTGTAGAAGGGCTAAAATCTGTGTCAGGTTTTTATTGCTGTCTGTGTCTCTGTTGTGGATTTTCAGTATCAGTATTTGTCTTTCTGACCATTGTCTCTGGTACAGAAGGTGATGGGAAAACCAAACTTTTTGAGTTGTTGTAGCTAAGAGGTAACCTTCCAATCTGGAATTGTGCACTGGTTACAAATGTCTAACAGGGAATATCAACTTATGTTGGAGGGATCGGTGCAGATGGACCAGTTTGTTTATCAGATATGGAGTGATCAGAAGACATTTTTTGAGTAAAGTAAAATGTATCTCTGGTATTCTCTAATTATCCCTTTTGGGTCCAGGCGTGATGCAAAAAGAATTTTTAACAGCTTTGAAAACCAAAATGTTTTTCAAACCATGTTTGTAGCGAATATGAGTTTTTATTTGGTCATTTGTATAAAAATACCAAAAAATATATTTTTAAAACAAGTTAAAGGACAAAAATGAGGGAAAAAATCAGGTTTAGTTTGTTTAATGTGTAACATATTTTAAATATTTAATACTATTCCAAACATGTTTGCTAAATTATTTTCTCCTATTTATCCTGCGTACACAGACCCCAGTTATGGTTAGTTTCTGATACATGTGTCAGCGCTGCATGATCAGAGCTGTATGAGGGGGGCAACAAAAAATGGGGGGGTGATGGGGCCTGTGTGTAATGCCTCCTCCTGACCAATGTAATGTCTTTTCTCCACTATTAACTGCCCCCTCTGCAATGTCTGTCCACAATTTCCTCCTTTTATATTGCCTGTCCCCATCGTCAACTGATCCATGCTGTACTGCCATCAACTGTCCCCCACTGTACTGTCTGTCCCCATTAACTACCCTTTCTGTACTGCCTGTTTGCACCAGCAGTGGCCCTCCTCACTGTTTTCTTCATCAACCTCCGCCCTCTGTGTTGCTTGCCCCCACCATCAACTGCCAACATCTATACTGCCTGTCCCCACCATTATCTACCCCCTCTGTAGTGCATATCCCTACCATCAACTGATCAACTGGCACCAGCGCAGGAACATATTTTCCTTTCAGTGACACCACCAACACATGGACATGTTTTCCTCACACTTGTGCCAGGCATTACTTCCTTCTCCACTGCAGTATTTTGTGGGTACAAGGAATGTGACATTAGTGTGCATCAAATACAGTGAATAGGCAGTGGTTTGTTTTTTACTATTTAATCATCCCCCTTCAATTCACTCCCACTGTTTCTTGCCATACCCACCATTTGTCATAGTAGAAATTATTTCCGTTTACAAAAATCCACAGATGAAAAGCCATCTAGCACTCAAAAGCCTGGCACTACCTTTTAAAATAAATAATGGGGTAGTAAGAAGGTTAGCAGAGTTAGCTACAGCCCTTTTAAGAAATTACAAAAAACAGACAAACACAAAATTTTGCAGCTGCTAAGGCCCATAACTGCAACATGTATCATGGGTGCATCCATTTTTAAATGTTTATTTATAGGATAGTTTTTTTAATAAAAAGAAATTTAAAAATGACCCAATTTCCTCTTAATAAACAAAAGTATACCTCGTGAAATATGAGTAACAGTGTCTGCTCCTAAGATCCCTGCCTCTATTGCTCTGACTATTTTGTTACTTCAAACATTCTGTGGCCAAAATGTAATATCGCATATTCATTTCTATATGGTATTTCAAGCCTACTTTAATAATCGGAATGATCTTGATGCTTGTAAATTTACTTTGTGAAGATCCCCACACCTTTACTGGAATTCTGTATGACGTATTCATTATGCCCAGTGAATAGGTACTGCTGTGGCACAGAATTCAAAGAGCCTGCCTTCTGTACTACATAAGTGCTTAAATGAGGAGTTTCAGGAAGTGGAGTCAGTACAGGAATACTGCCTGCAAGTAGCAAGGTACCATGGTATACAGTATATAGTCTTTAGAATAGGAAAGTAAAAAGGAGAGAGAGGAAGCTAGAAAGCATGAAGAAATGCTGGAAGCTGTGGAAAGCGATGGTCAGTACAGTAGACAGGTAGCACTCATAAGATATTTCAAGTAAGCTCATATTGGATTGTTAAAAATGACAGTTGTTTGTATTGCTATTACAATGCTGGTGTTCTAAAATGAAAGTGTGGGCTGTGACCTTAGATTTCCTTTAAAATACAGAGATGATGTGTCTGCTGTATACGTAGAGCAGACACATCATCTCTCATGTTTCAATAAATTAGATCATCTAACCCACAGCTGTCAAACTGGAGGCCCTCCAGCTGTTGCCAAACTACAAGTCCCATGAGGCATTGCAAGATTGACAGTTACAAGCATGACTCCAAAAGGCAGAGGCATGATGGGACTTGGTAGTTTCGCAACAGCTGGAGGGCCACCAGTTTGATACCGCTGCTCTAACCCATGATTTTTAAACTATCCTTAACCTAAACCCTAATACTATTCAGCTCTTGCAGATTTACAGCTACCTTGTTAGCTGCCAAAATTATCCTGCACTAAGATATGAGCTTAAGAGGTTATTTCATTACTACAGAAAAAAATGTAAAGGTAAGCACCCGACACCATAACTCCACTCCCTGGTTCCTGCTGTACTTGCATAGTTGTTGAGCTCTCAGCTGGTTCAGGGATTTGAAATCCCTGCTCTTCACCCTCTTCTCCGTATAGTGCTTCCCTCTGTGCCTTCACAGTGAACTGAACTGGTCTGTCCCAGAAGCACTGCATGGAGAAGAGGGAGAAGAGTAGGGATTTCAAATCTCTGGACTGCTGGACCGGTTATGGGAGTGCTGACAACTCAGCAATCCTGGAGATAAGTACAGTGGGGACTGGGTGTGGGGAGGATGTCCGGTGTTAGTTAAACTTTACATTTTTTTCTGTAAAAGTGAACACTTTAAAGCAACCTGTATCCACTCTACAATCAAACAAAAATCGTCTAAACACAGTTATGAATGCCCTGGGGTGTGAGAAGGAACAGCAGTTAAATGACCACTGTCTCAGTGGTCACATGATCAGAAGCCAGTCCCGCTGGTTACCAATCCTTAGTCTGGACCAAGAGCTGTCTTTGTCAGCTCGGTCTTTGTGATGGGAGTGTATAAACATTGACTGCCCAGCACCACAGAGTTACAAAAAAATGTATGCTATGACATATATATTTAAGTGTAAAGAAGATCCAAAGAAAGTCACAGCAATATATGAATATATAAATATATAGTATAGTAATATGGTAATAGTAAGTAATGAAAGTTATACATTTCTAAGACTGATAGAGTTTTACACAGTATTACTAAAGACAATGGCTGAAAGACAAAATTTAAACATAAGTGCAGTATTTCACTCACCTGTGCTCGATGCTCTCCAACAGCAAACTGAACCACAGCAATGCCTGGACTATGGCTGTTCTCAATCCTTTCAACTGTGCTGGAGTCTATTTTCAAGTCGTTGCTAATATCGGCGCTCTGTATGAAAGTCTTCAGTTTTTAAATCTTCTACCTTCTTTAGCTCACCATTGGCCAGCTGAATTATTGACCCTTTTGTGAAATAAGGGGGCAGTGTGGGAGCAGCTGCCATTGGAGAAGCAACGGACTGTACTAGAGGAAGGTGTATTTGAGCTGGAACCAATGTGGTCTGGTAGGCTGCTTGTGTTGCCAATGATTCAGCACTGTAGTTATCACTCTTAGGAATGGGCGTAGTGACAAAAGTATGAGGCACTGCTGCAAATTGGGGAGATGAAGTGACAATAGCAGGTGCTACCCCTACCCCAGATGGTTCAATGTCTGGATTGCCAACTGGTATGAGCAAGGGCTGTGTGCCTGGAATAACCAAGTGCTGTGGCAAATTTCCAGGGTAACCAATGGTTTGCTGCTGACTGCTGAGATAGCCAATAACTGGCTGTTGTGTACCCGCATAAAAGGCTGCAGCAGGCAGCCCAACAGAAAGTTGCTCTGCTGCACTATGAGTTGTCTGGATGACAGTGTGAGGAGATAAAGTGGCCACGGTTTTCACGCTTTCTGCGCATAAAGTCTGTTGTGGGGATAAAGCATAGGACCGGTGGGATGGTTTTCCTAAGTGTAAGCTTCCCTTGTTATGAGCAGTTGAGGGTGAGGTTTCTCTCTTAATGGTTTGTGGAACATCAATGTCTGTGGCAGCAGGGTTGCTGTTGGGTACCACCATGACAGAGGTCCGAACACCTGAGGGATCCCGAGCACTAAACTCAGTACTTGGGTGCATCACTACATGCCTTGTCTCATAATGTTGGGAAGCTGGTTTATTATTGCCTGCTTTCATTAGCTGTGCATCTGTTGAGGGAGGGATTACAAATCTCCTAACTTTCTCTATCTCCCCATTTAATAATTCCTTGGCTTGTGACCTGAAACTATCTTCTTTCTTTGTAGGGTCCCTAGCAATAAAATGAGCTCCTGATTCTGAGTACTGCACAACCACCTGGGGGGAAGTACCCAGGGTGAGTGTATGTGGAATCACTGGGTGGGTATGTAAATGGACTGGGATAGTTGGTGGTGACAGATTTCTGACTCCACTCTGTGATGAGCTTAAATTATGCACATATTGACTTGACTGTGTAGGAGGAGATCCTGCTGAAATCAATCCTGGAGTCCGATCTAGATGCGGTTCACCTTTATGCCCCTGCTGGCTTAAGCTGCTTACATTGGCCAACATAGTGGAATAAGCCTCCATCTGGGAACGTTGTGATGGAGTGGAGACTCCTGATGCTGTTGAGGGCACAGCACTTGATGCGGAATTCGATGTAGGTGAAACTAGCTGCGAATTGATGAACCCTGCATACGATGGTCCACTATACTGCGGTCCAATAAACTGGAACGTTTGGGGCACATTAGCATATTGTACAGGAGACATTGATGCCCCTGACTGAGACTGCACAGTTTGATAAATGGCAGGACCTGTTGTTTGCTGCTGGTACCGACCTTGGAGCACTAGGGGGGGAATAGTCTATACCAGTTGAAAGTGTTTTATGTAAACCTACCCCCTGTTGTAAACCAGCTTCTATTGAAGTTCCTGCAGGCCCATGATGACGTCCACCATGGCTGCTGGCCGTGGTGGGAAGCCATGATAAACTATCTGTACGATGGTTTTCATTTGTCAATCCAACTGTCTTTTCTTCAGAAGGTCGACTGGTGGCGGGAATTTCACGTTTCTTCGGTGGCAGGCTTTCATTGCTCCTTTCTTGATTAGATTTCATGTTTTGCTTTCTGCCACCCCCGCCAACCCCCACTACTTGCTCACTGCCTGACTGATACTGATTTCAGTCTGGTGAATGGAAAATCACATTTAATTCCAGAAGGAACCCCAACAACTTCATGAGGAATCATCTCCCTGGGAGCACAATCTTCTAACAGATGATATGGAATCTAAATATGGAAACACAAAACATAATATACATTCATTATAACAGGACCTTTGATTAAAATAAACCTTGAAGCTTACAATTTAATTCACAAATCAAAGCTTTATTCTGTGTTTATACAAGCTAACTAAATAAATAAAAAATGTACATAAAGATTCTCTACATCCGTCTGCAGATTTACCTTACTTCCATTAAACAGGTGTAAGTTTCCCCCTGAAAGCTATCTCATTGAAGTGATGAGTGAGGCATACTCCTCCCTTGTGATTGACTACAGACAGCTTAGGAAACCAATTATAACATTAGGATAAGGGGAAATTTGTCATTTGTAAGATTAAAATGGCTTTTAAAGCATAAAAGACAAGTTTTAGTTTAAGCACAATATATTTGCAGCTACAGTATGTGGAAAAGGCACCTATTATTACATAATATGTGACTCCAATCAAAACTAGATAGGATTGGAACCTCTGTCATGTTTTTAGCACTGTCTGTGTCATCCTTAGGAAGATCTCCCCTACTTCCTGTCTCAATGAGAGTGGTTACCTGGAAAGGAAATGAGAGGAAATCTCACCAATGGTGACACAGAGATAAAACACTATTTAGAAGAGTAGAGAAGGGTCAAAACCTTTGTAGAGTTTTACAGTAGTCTGTGTTAGTGTTGTGGAAGTATTTATATCCTGCCCTAATAACAATGGTCACTTTACCACTTTACCATAAAGCTTTGTCTAAAGTTCTTCTGCTTTAACTAAAATAATGTTTAATTTCAAATTAGTACACAAGTGTGCCAAAATCAAATGGGCAACACTTTTACTGGCTGTTTTACAGTCTGATTATCAGCAGAAAATCCTAGAGGCGAAACTGAAATAGCCTATTTCATATCTTTCAGTACACAGTATTATATATATATATATATATATATATATATATATATATATACACACAGTATACATACACACACACATATGCATGCATTTTTTATCATAATCTCTATTTGTAATGGTGAAAGGTAGTTTCTGCATATTCTGCATATCATAAAAAATGAAATCACCTTTTTTATGATAAATTGGGGAAATTACCCAGTCTATTATAAAGTTTTCAAAAGAAATACATACAGTGTTTCAAAATAAAATCTCCCTAGTACAACGGGGAAACGGGAGGGGTGAATTTCTTTCCCTCTTATTTCTGGAAACCAGATATAACTTGGTGAAAGGTGATGAATATGTCCTACCTAATCATGTACAATTTAGAAAATTTACATCCATTTCTAGTCTGTCCTCTGATATAATCATATAATAAATATTCATATGAGATGCTTTATAAACTACCAACATTACCAAAATTAATGAAAGAAAGTTTTAGATTCTTATGCTTATGCAACATGTTTTTCCTTATTGTCCTAAAGCAGCCTTTCCATGGCAAAACCTGCCCTCTAAGTCCTGATTCACTCTGGATCTGACATTGAAATCATGCGACTTCACTTGAAGTCGCACAATTTTAAAGTCAGATGGTGGTGCGACTTCAGATGAGACTACATAGACATCTGTGCGGCTTCATGCACAGATGTCTATGCAAATCTCACCCCAAATCAGCAAAAGTAGTGCAGGAACTACTTTTCTAATCGGTGCGCACCGATTAGAACAGTTCCATTGCCGATCCTTGCATGTGATCGTCATGTGATCTGAATGGTCAAATCACATCACAATTCACAACAGTGTGAACCAGGGCTAGCACAAAAGTATTTTGCAAATAAATGGTTTGCCCAAAAAATATATACACATTCTTCCTTATGTCTTTGTAAATCTATGAGGATTTCAACAATTTTCATATTCAAAGCATGACATGATATAGTAGTAGTAATAATAATAATAATAGTATTAAGGATAATAAAAATGTTTAACATATAATACATTTTGAAATGCTGTATATCATAGTTCTTCAATGCATTTTCTCTTCACCAAACAGGTTCTAATTTATTTTAAACTTAAGCACAGAAAAGTACTGAAAGAAAGAAACCTAACACTCTATAGTGCAAAGTGCTGACTTTTATTAGGATTGCGTAGGTGGTGTTGAAACAAGTGTGAAAACAACTGTGAGGGAAAGACTGTGTTGAACAAAGGATAACTGTTGAAGAACTTGTCATAATTTTCTCCCTGTATGTGCTGGGAACATCTGCCTCACAGCACAGAAAACTGTAGTCATGCGTATTCTCTTTTAGTATGGGATTCTCAAAGTAGCTGGGTCAGATGAGACAAGCAGCTGAGAAATAATTCAGACCAAGGTTCTAGAGCTAGTCCAAAGTGTCACCTCTTTAGTTAGCCAAGTACTATCCATTATATTTATCTGCCATCATGTACCTTACAAGCATACATAATACAAACTTTTAAATGTTCTCTAAACCCAAAAAAGTAAATGTTGGTTATGGCAGATTGAGGTTACAGGAGATGCCCAGTTCTTTCACATCTGAACTTCACACATCAATGTTCTATTACATTTTGGACCCCAATCTGCATATATCACTGGCCTAGATCAGGGATACACTGGAAGAAAATGTTTGTATAATTTCATACCACATGACTAAGGTCTGAGGGTGATTAGACATATTCTTCTACAAAGAAGCACTTTTTGTTGGTCGTATAATGAATTTATTCTGCAAATGTTGGAATTCATATTGAACCATAACGTTCTCCTCTTCAAGGGCTCCTGCTTCCTCTAGGAACTGGGCGTAGCGATGGGGACTTTTTGTGCCCCATCCTATGTCAATCTGTACAAGGGGAAGTGGGAAAAAATCTTTCTCTCAGATGGCACTGGTACATCGACAACATATTTTTTTATGGGATGTCCAGAACAAATTGTCAATGCAATGCCTGGCAAAAATGAACACAAATAGTTGCAACTTGTATTTTACCATGATGTACAACATAAACAAGGTTACTTTCTTAAATGTGATTGTTTAAAGGGACCAGAGGGTCAATTAACCTGTTTAGAAAAGAAATACAATTCTACACGCTGACAGTTTTCATCCAATTTCATTAAAAGAGTCTATTCCATATAGTCAATTTCTTAGATTAAAACTCAAATGCACAAACCAGTCAGATTTTCAAACAGAAGTGGATAGATTAACAAAGAGACTCCTGAAAAGGAGGCTATATGAAAACATACCTTAGGAAAGAGTTTAATCGAGCTAATAGTCAAAATAGACAAACCTTAATTTTTCAACAGAAAGTCAAATCTGAAGATAATTTGACACACATAATTTAAAAAATTCTCCAACAAACACGAGGAAGTCAGAAAAAATATTAAATAACACTGGTCTATCATAAGGGATGACCCAGTGCTGAGGGATTTAATCCCACATGCCCTTTCTATTACATTTAAAAGAACAAATTTTATTATTGTATCTAACACAAAGTGAATATAAGGGAGAGAACAGCAAAGACCCATTTAAAATGAGAGGAACATTTCCTTGTGGAGATTAATCCCACTGTCAATTTGTACCTAAACAAAAAGATTTTAGACTCCCAAATGGGGACTGGTTTGAACCTAAACACTTTGTTGATTGTAATACTAAAGGTGTGGTTTACCTCCAGTGTGAGTGTGGAGTGTATGTTGGGAAGACTCATCAAGAAATCTGGAGAAGGATATACAAACATGTGCATGGCATGCTGATTGGCAACCTGTATCTTTTTGTGGGGAGACATGTTGCCAAGACTCACAAATATAGAAACCCAAGGTCACCTCCATGGCCTTGGACAGAGTACATATCACTGGGATATGTACTCTGGGACTGGAATAAAATATTATTACAATGCACCTGTATCCCATGTCTATTCAGCCTGAAGCAATGACTGTGATTGAGGCAAACTGGATTGGGAGGGAGTGTGTGCCAGAGGCAGGCTTTGATTGGTTGAGGGGGGGTGCCAGAGGCAGGCTGTGATTGGGAGGGAGTGTGCCAGGGGAAGGCTGTGATAATGAGGGTGTGTGTGCCAGAGGCAGGCTGTGATTGATCAGGGGGTGTGGTGGCTGAAAAACTTCTCAATACAAGCATGCTGCACATCGTCTGCACAGTATCCTGTACCTCTGACTGGCCAGCCAAAGGATAAAAAAAACTGACCATGCTAACACAGAACAGCTTCTGTGTTTTGTGTGGTCATTTAGAACAAGGCAGGATCAACCAGATACTACAGATGGAAGAAGTACATGAAAATGATAGAGCATATGATTTAAAAAGTACACACTTGTAAACACAAACATAGAAAGAAAGAAATATTGAGAGTAACATACATTTTAAATCTTACTAGTAAGATATATCTAAAGACATTTGTTTTCAGGGTGACAGTGCTTACTACTGCAGTGTTGTCACACATTTTCTGCACCCTACAAACTTGGATCACAAGCTGCCACAGTACCATAGAAAACTGTAGTGTTCATTCCATATTGGTGCATACACATATCCACAGGAGGTTCCTGTAAACAGTCTTAGACTAGGTTCACACCTGTGCAGTTTGCGTTTATTTGTTTCTGCAGTTCTTTTTGTAGTGCGTTTTGCATTTTAGCACATGCATTTTTATGCGGTTTTTTTATGCATTTTGCTTTTTTATTTATTTGATTTTATTTTTTGGCCAACTTGTTGCTGGGCGGACTAAAACCACAAAATTCATTAAAAATGCGTCAAAAACACATAAAAAATGCAGGCAAAACGCAGCACTTGCATTCTTTATGCAGTTCAGTTGTAGTCTATTGGACTAAAAATGCAAACTGCTGCGGGAAAAAAAGTACCTGACCCTTTCCAAAAAAAAACGCCCGCAAAAACTGCATAGATGTGAATGTGATCCATGGGT